GCGGTGTTCACCACGGTGTTGACTCTTCCACACCGTGGACTCGGGGCCCCTCAAAGGACTTCAGCAGTCTCTGGCACTGGTCCCACGCCCTGCCCAGCTGCCCCGCGACAGCCTCTGAGCTGATCCTCTGCCGCCTCGTGGAGCAGACGAGTTGACTGAACGCGAGGCGTGCTCCGAGTGTCCGCCGAGACCGGCAGTGCGAGTGGGTAGCCCCGGCGCCTGTCTGGGAGACGCGGGTGCCGAGCATTTCGCGCGCTCCGGCCTGGAGGCTGGGCACGAGTGTGCCTTCCTCGTAGAAACGCCACAGCTTCGTTGGCCAAGTCCGGCTCTTTATACTGGGAAACTATATTTTTATATTTATATTTTATTACATTTTTATTCATACTGGGACTGGGAAATTTTTCATTTACCGGCACGGACCAATGCTGCTTGGAAATTACGGCAAAACAAATTTTTGGCTAGAAACCGAACACAAGGTAGGCAGCAGAAGAAATTAAACTGGGAGACGTTAGCACTTACTAGATGTTTTGCTTCTTTACTGTGGAAAAGATCTGCCGCCCGAGCAGTTCTTCGCAAGTTGCCCTCCGAGCGGCGAGCGCGCCTCGCGCCCAGTTACCACGCGCAGCCGCGGCAAGCGCTCCCCGGAGGAGCTCCCACAATTCCCAGCCAGGAGGAGGCCCCGCCTCCCGTGACGTCGCGCCCGCGGATTGGCCGGCGTTGGGGGCCCGGGCCTCGGCCGTGGTAGGGCGGGAACTGGAACCCGGGTGGTCGCCATGGCTGGCTTTGCCCGACGCGGCCGGCCGTTTGCCGGCTGGCCTGCGCCCGGCCTCCCGCTGCTGCTTCAGTGTCTGCTCGGGACCCTGGCCAACAAACTCAACGTGCCGCAGGTGTTGCTCCCCTTCGGCCGGGCGCCAGGCCGCGTGCCCTTCCTGCTGCAGGCGCAGCGGGGCTGCTACACCTGGTGAGGGGTGGGGTCCCCGGGGCGTCGCGCCCCCCTCGGCCCTGCACGCGTGGACGGGCTGGCCTCGACGAGGTGCCACCGCGGCGCCTTTCCTGTGGGGCGCCCCTGGAGCGGGAGGCGGTCCCCGCACGGCCTGAGGCGATGTCCCGGGGGCGCGGGCTTGGGGCTGGGGGGGGCTCCTTCCCGACGGAGAAGCTGGGGCTGTCGGGACGCCGCCCACGGCCTTGTGGGGTGAGTTCTTGCGCCCGCGCCTCGCCGCGGAGCGCGGAGACTCGCTTCAGGTGCAGGGGAGGCCTGTCTGGGGGAGAGCCTTGCCGCCCGTGCGAGGGGCTGCTGTGGAGCGTCGTCCACCCTGAGGGCAGGCGGCCCCGCCGCGTCACAGGCCGCACCGCCCCCGGTTTCCTCAGCGAGGCGGCAGGCTTGTGCAGGGCGAGAAGCCCGCTCCCGTTTTGCGGCGGTAAGGGCCTCGCCTGAGGAAGAGCCGGTGTGCTGCACGGCATCTCGCCAGCCGAGGCCAAAGCGCTCACTTTCGTGCTCTGGCACACGGGCCGAGGGGCAGGGCGAAGCCGACCCTGCTCCCCAGGGAGCCGATCGCGGGCTGGGCGCCGGGGCGCCGACCCGAGCCGAGGGCAGCCGCGTAATCGGCTGAGCCGCCCGGGCGCCCCACAGCATTTTTTAATTGTGTTTTGAGTTGTACGCACACCTCGTAACGGAGGCAGTTTTTGTGTCCTGGCAGCCCAGTTTTGAGACTGGACAAAACTCACCCCTCACAGTACGAGAAATGTGTCTCTCATTGTTGGAGACACAGCATCAGTCCGTTTTTTGTTGTTTCAAGATTTGATTGATTGATTGGAGAGAGAGCACGTGCGCATGCCCAGAGGGAGCGGCCGAGGCCGAAGCGGACCCCCGCGGAGCAGGGAGCGCGATGCGGGGCTCGATCCCAGGAGCCTGGGATCGGGACCGGAGCCGAAGGCGGACGCCCCACGACCGAGCCTCCCGGGCGCCCCTGCAGTCTTATTTTAAATATCGAGGGAGGACTCTAATACATGTGCAACACTGCACCAGGGCTCATTGGGAAAAGGTTCTGATCAGTCTCACTGAAATCTTGGGTCTCTAAGCATGGTCTCTAAAGAGTGTCATTTAGATACACCAGGTAATGTGTAACGCGGAAAAACTAAGAATCTGTGTTCTCCTGAAAGTTAATTTTAACCCACAGTCTTATTTCAAACTCTTAAGTATTTTATTTTGGCAGGCATTCCACCCATCATGATGCAGTAACTGTTGAGCCTTTATATGAAAATGGCACCTTATGTTCTCAAAAAGCTATGCTCATTGCTGAATCTACCCAACCGATACGCCTCAGCAGTATTATTCTTGCTCGAGAGATAGGTATGTTGAGAGAAAACACATTGTGAAATCATTCATCTAGAGTAGAATAATCTTGTATCTTTATACATGGTTAATACAAATGGTGTTGGCTTCAAATGATAAGTAGAAAAAAAGCAATCTGCAGAATAACCCTAATTGTGGCATCCCATTCTGTGACTTTTTTTTTTTTTAAGATTTTATTTATTTATTTGACACAGAGAGAACACAAGCAGGGGGAGCGGCAGAGGGAGAGGGAGAAGCAGACTCCCCACTGAGCAGGGAGCCCGATGTGGGGCTCGGTCCCAGGACCCTGGGACCATGACCTGAGCTGAAGGCAGGCGCTTAATGACTGAGCCACCCAGGTGCCCCCAACTTTTTTTTTTTTAAGATTTTATTTATTTATTTGAGAGAGAGAGAATGAGAGATAGAGAGCACAAGAGGGAAGAGGGTCAGAGGGAGAAGCAGACTCCCCGCTGAGCAGGGAGCCCGATGCGGGACTCGATCCCGGGACTCCAGGATCATGACCTGAGCCGAAGGCAGTCGTTTAACCAACTGAGCCACCCAGGCGCCCACCCAACTTTTTTTTTAAATATATCTGGTCCCTGGCGTGGTGCCTGATAAAGAGTAGAAACCCTAGTTTTTTTGAATCCTTGAAGAAAAGAAGGAATTATTTATTGGAACTAGCTTAGGTGTTAAGGTCTGAGGTGGGCCTTGAGTAAGGCAAAAGGAACTAAAAAAGCTAGTACTTCTTAAGGTGTGGTCTGTGAACCTGTGTCATCAGCAGCATCAGTATCACTTGGAATCCTAGAAATGTAAATCCTTGGAGTGCCTGGCTGGCTCAGTTGGTGGAGCATGCGACTCTTGATCTCTAGGTTGTAAGTTCGAGCCCCACCCTCGGTGTAGAGATTATTTAAATATAAAACCTCGAAGGGAAAAGAGTGTACTTGGTGACCTTTCCGAGTCGTTGGCCATGTGGGTTGGGGCAGCCTGAGTCGGGGGTCCTGTGCTGAGATGATTCAAAGCCTTGTTAAAAATGTTCGGGTTGGGGCGCCTGGGTGGCTCAGTTGGTTAAGCGACTGCCTTCAGCTCAGGTCATGATCTCAGGGTCCTGGGATCGAGCCCCGCATCGGGCTCCCTGCTTGGCGGGAAGCCTGCTTCTCCCTCTGACCCTCCCCCTGCTTGTGTTCCCTCTCTCGCTGTCTCTCTCTCTGTGTCAATTAAATAAATAAATAAAATCTTTAAAAAAAAAATGTTCGGGTCCCCATGAGGCCCTGCTCTACCCAACTTTACCAGATTTGGGTAGGAATGGAGTTCATGGGCTTCATCGTTTATAAAATTAGGATTGCTGATAAAAGAAGTAAAGCTTTGAAAACTTCGAGTTCTGTACCTGCTCATAATCATCATTGACCAGCTTTACTTGGAGTACAGATGGAATGTCATTTTGGCTGTAAATCTCAGCAGTCTCTGTTAGATGGGAACATGGAGCATTGCTGTACACTTGTAGATGTGTTGTTTCCTTTGTGGTGTGAATAAATGTAACTGTGAGATGCAAAAAAGAAAGAAAAATGTAAATTTTCAGACCCCATCTCAGTTCTACTGAATTAGAATCTCAGGAATGGGCCCAGGGAGTTAACAAGCTCTCCAGTGATTCTCATGCATTACTAAAGTCTGGAAGCACTGTACCAGTCTTTTTTAGATTAGAGCAGCTGGAGAAATCCTATTTGTATCCAAAATCAAAGCAAGGCTTTTTGTATCCCAGAGTTTCTGGCACTTCATTGCTACGTTGATAGGCTAGAAATACCTGTATAGTTTTATAAATATTTTGGTAAATGATACATCTGTTACTATGTTATTAAAGAGAAGTTAAAGTTGTTTGGTATACCATAGTTCATATGACTGAAGATGCCATCTAATATAAAGCGGTTTTTTTTTTTTTTTAACCTACCGCTAAGAAAAACATAGCCAACTAAACTATGCTTTTCTTCATTTAGAATTTCTATTTTAGGGGCGCCTGGGTGGCTCAGTCGCTAAGCGTCTGCCTTCGGCTCGGGTCATGATCCCAGAGTCCTGGGATCAGGCCCCTCATCGGGCTCCCTGCTCGGTGGGGAGCCTGCTTCTCCCTGCCCCGCTCCGCCTGCTTGTGTTCCTGCTCTCGCTATCTCTCTCTCTGTCAAATAAATAAATAAAATCTTAAAAAAAAAAGAACTTCTATTTTATACCTATAGAAGAACTAAGACTTAGATGGTTATTTTTATTATGTTTCACTCTCATGCCTAATAAAAAGGAAAATATAAATAAAATAAACTGGCTAAGATATTTCTAAAACTACCATAGTGGTTCTGTCTCAGATGAAATACTTTTTCACTGGGAATCATTAATGTCTGTGTTTATCCCCACAATATCTTCCTCTGTGCCAGTAAGACTGTTATGGATGCAGTATTTCTTAAAAGAATCAATTAAAAACAAAACATGTAAAAGCTGGGGCACCTGGCTGGCTCAGTTGGAAGAGTGTGTAACTTTTTACTTTCACATTCTCCACCAACTGGGCCAGCCAGTCACCCCAAGAGTGTGCAACTCTTGATCTCGGGGTTGTGAGTTTGAGCCCCACATTGGGTATAGAGATGACTTAAGTAAATAAAACTTAAATAAAACCCTAAAAACTATAATATTGGGCTCTTAAGTTAGCTTTGCAATTATATGGATGTGTTGTGGGGTTATTTTCTAGTTACGGAAAAGTGCCTGGCACATCTGAGTTACTACCCTTCCCACCCCGTCTTAATCATTTGATTCCCAGGAGATTAAAGAGTGTCACTATTGACCACCAGATTTTCTTCTTACTACTAATATCCATTCTACAAGTTTTGATGCTGGCCTTTTAATGTTCTCACATATGCAATCAATCACAACTATGTCGTGACTGCTGCCTGGCTGACAGCAAGTGAAAGATGTCATCAGTTATAAGATAAAACTCAATTTCAGAGATGTTAAAATATCCAAAAACTAACTGTCTTAGAATCAGTGAAATACGGTATGAGGACTCTCAAAGGTGAGGATATTTGAGGAACATGTCTTACAGGGCAGCTACAATAGATAAAGAAGTTCAGAAAAGAAGAATTGTATTGGTCACATGAGCAATTTTTTAATGTAATTACTTTTAACTACATGAATTCACTGTGATATCAGAAGATACATTTATACAATTGCTAGGAAAAATGTCAAATCTGGCTCTCAGCTTAATTTCATCTGACTTATAAGTATTCCAAAGTTAAGTATCTTTTAAATCAGCTTTCCCAATTTTGCTAGACTCTCAATAATAAATGCCAGTTTCAGTGTCCCACCAGGTAACATTCTCATCTGAGCGGAAAAGAACACTCTGAAAGGGGGAGGTGGGAGAGGGAGAGGACGTTGTGAAAGGGAAGCATATACCTTAGAGATTGTTCATTCGTTTGATGAATATTTATTGAAATGCCTAGTAACTATAAGGTGTCTGTAAAGATAGAAAGATTTAAGCACTCCATTGGTATTTAGGTACTTAGAATTTTATGATGTTTTTGTCGACACTGTAGTAAAGCAAATTAGTGGCTTTGATGGAGATGATGGATAGAAGTGATAAACTCTAGGGGGCTTGTTTTATTTGGTAAGAATGCTACATTTCTTTTGATTTTTGTTTTGCTTTGACCAGGTGCTACTTCATTTGGTAAAACCTTCAAAGAATATAAAAGGTTATATAGTGAAAAGTAAGCCTTTAATCTTTCTCCAGGAGAGAGCCACTTTTCTGTATCCTTCAGAGGCAGTCTGAATATATGAATATGCCCTTTTTCTAGTGGGAAATCTAGATTTTTAACCTTAGGTAAAGGACAAGTGGAGGAGTCTGGAGATGAAGGCATGATTTTAGCTCACATGGAAGAGGAAGAAAGCGTTTGAATAACTGGATGATTTTGGTGTGGGGTGAGAGGACTGTAGGGTGATCAGTACTTATTGTGGTGTGCTCAGCATGTTGTTGATGTTCCATAAATACTTACAGGTTGATTAGTTGCTACAGTGGATTATAATTGTATAAACAAGAGAGTTGATTTGGAAGCTAGGATAAGTACAAGAGTCGGGGAAGGCAGGAAATATTTGCCATTTCTGCTCCCTCTCTTTTGCTCCTGGCTCTGCATCCCTTTGGTTCTTGCAATACTGGTTTCATTCTCTTATTTTTTTCTTCCCTCTTCATCTCCCTGGATCAATTCTCATCCTCTCTATTTCATTCATTTTTCTTTCTTTATTACCTTGCTCCTGTGTGGACCTGAAGTATACCTGAAGTAATATGAACATGTAGATAAGAAAATTCATTATATTATTTAATAAAGTTATTCATTTTTTAAAAAGATTTTATTTATTTATTTGACAGAGAGAGAGACAGCAAAAGAGGGAACACAAGCAGGGGGAGTGAGAGAGGGAGAAGCAGGCTTCCTGCCGAGCAGGGAGCCCGATGCGGGGCTCAATCCCAGGCCTCCGGGATCACGACCCGAGCCGAAGGCAGCTGCTCAACCGACTGAGCCGCCCAGCCACTTACCTCTTTAGAGGTAAGTTGAGCACCTGGGTGGTTCAGTTGGTTAAGTGTCTGACTCTTGATTTTGGCTCAGGTCATGATCTCAGAGTTGTGAGATCGAGCCCCTGTCAGGCTCCGCATGGGTGTGGAGCCTGCTTAAGATTTTCTCTCTCTCTTCCTCTGCCTTTCCCCTTACCTTTCCTTGTCCAAAAAGAAAAAAAAAAAGAAACCTTAAAAATTAAAAAAAAGAGGTAAGTTGAAGGTATGATATTTCTCTTAATCACTCTAAATTCACCTATAGTTCATACAAGGTAATTTTTTTCTTTATGGTCGATGGCCATGTATTGAAAAGCTTATTGCTATTGAAGTGGTCAGATGGGTAGTCTTTATGTGCACAAGGCTTTTCATACTTTTATGTAAGGTCACAGCTACTTTTTTTTTTTAAAGATTTTATTTATTTATTCATGAGAGACAGAGGGAGAGAGAGAGAAGCAGAGGGAGAAGCAGGCTGCCAAGGAGCAGGGAGCCAGATGCGGGACTCGATCCCAGGACCGCGGGACCATGACCTGAGCCGAAGGCAGACGCTTAACATCTGAGCCTTCCAGGCGCCCAGGTCACAGCTACTTCTGTCCTATGATTGCCCTATGTATTTCTCCACAGAAGAAAAGTATTTAAGGGACACCTGGGTGGCTCAGTCGGTTAAGCGTCTGCCTTCGGCTCAGGTCATGATCCCAGGGTCCTGGGATCGAGTCCCACATCGGGCTCCTTGCTGAGCAGGGAGCCTGCTTCTCCCTCTGCCTGCCTCTGTCTCTCTCTCTGATAAATAAAATCTCTAAAAAAAAAAAAAAGAAAAGAAAAGTAATTTCCTGTTTAATTACTGTTAGATTATCCAGTGCCTAATTATCTAGTATATATTATGTGAGTTCACCCTTCCTTCCTTGGAACACTTCCTTAAATAGTATGTTTTACCAGCAGATCCCGTGAGATTTCAGCTTCTCTTGGTTCTTAATGATAGCTCCCATATTTTGGTCTTCATTTCTTTTTTTTTTTTTTAAGATTTTATTTCTTTATTTCACAGAGAGAGAGTGAGCATAAGCAGTGGGAGCGGCAGGCAGAGGGAGAAGCAGGCTCCCCGCTGAGCAAGGAGCCCGATGCGGGACTTGATCCCAGGACCCTGGGATCATGACCTGAGCTGAAGGCAGACTCTTCACCAACTGAGTCACCCAGGCTTCCCATTCTTCATTTCTTTTAACTTCAGGTTCTGTTCAATTAAATGTTAAGTAAAAGAAGTAATCAAGTAAATTTTTAAAATATTTTCTTTTAAAATAACTTTGAATTTACAGAAGCAATGCAAAGATAGTACAAAGAGTTCCCATATACTCTTCACCCAGTTTTCTTTAATATTCCACTAATGTCCTTTTTCTGGTCTAGGATTTAATTCAAGACACCACATTACTAAACTACATGATTGTGTTTGTGACTCTGACAGTTTCCACCCAGGCATCCCTTCTTTTATGGAATTTTTAAATGGAAGGAAAATGTTAATCAGGTAATATAGGCAAGTGCCCCTCAAAAAAGGCCAAGGAGCATCAAAATATGCTCTATTTCAGGCAAAGCTATACTACCTTTCACAAGAAACACAAAAACTGACTTAATCATCCTGAAACTATATTTACACTGGGGTTCAACAATTAAGTAAATACACTGTAGATACTGAGTGTCTGGTTTCTTGTTACCAGAGAAAGGAATTACACTGTGGTACAAGATTAGAACCAAAGATATCACTATGATTTCATGTTTACATTAATATATACACAGAAAAATAGATATAGAAATACAGGTATGTGTGTATACATGGTTAGTGTATATACATATACTTCTTAGCACTGTCTGCTGAGAGGGCCAAGGAACAGTGACACTACTAGCAACAAGAACACCAGCAGCAGATCTTGGTTTCTAAATATAGTTCTCTAACAAAAAGAACCAGGACTCTTTGAGGAAATAGCTGGGCGGGAGAAAATACAAGATGGGCCTGGCTCATCTTAGACTGCTAAAAAGTAAGGAAGTACTACAACTAATTACTTGCTTAAGATGGGGCAAGGCCAAAGGACACAGGAGTCAACCTGAAAGAGTTCCTAATGGCCAAAGCTAGAAAAACTGGAGTAACAAAATAAATTATGATAGTACTGGATTATAAACCAAAAATAAATATCCATGAGTCAATACTTACATAAATAATGAATGAATAAATA